ATAAGCTTTCGTGGGCTACAACCCACTTCTTCGGATGCAAGAAGTAGCCCACGTGGGTTGTAGCCCACGAAAGCTTATGCTCTAATAAATTTGTTAGTCTCTAAGGTGCCACAAGTACTCCTGTTCTTTTTGCGGATACAGACTAACACAGCTGCTACTCTGAAACCTGTCAAATACCACAGAATATGCTCTGAGGAAAAAATCCAGGAGACATACCTTAACACACTTAAAACCGCCTTCACTACACCAGGATACTCCATCAGAGCAGCACATTGATTCACAGAACGGGTTCCCCAAATACTCTGCTTCAATACAGGGGAAAAACTACCCCCGCACCCTTAGTTGTCACTGTCCACCCCACACTGGAACCCATATGGGCTATCATCAAACAAGTACAACCCATACTCAATAGGGACAACTTCCTGAAAAAACACCAACAACGTTTCTGCAATCCCCACTTCTGGCCTCCAAACAACCCCCCAGCCTTGCCAAGCTCATCATCAGAAGCAAGCTCCCTTCAGACCAAGTCTCACCAAGTCAAAGCGGCATCAAACCTTGCCAGAACAACAGATGCAAAACCTGAAGCCATATCTCCACTGCTACAGTGAGGAACATACCCCACAACACACCTTTCACCACATGTGGTACCTCATCCAGTGCACTACATACCCCAATAACAACTATGTGGGTGAAACAAGACAATCACCATGCTCTTGAATGAACACTCAAGCTACATCTACATTACAGCTTATGTTGGCATAACTTGTCATTCAGAAGGGTGAATAAATCACCCCGAGAGACATAAGACACACCGAAACAAGCAACGGTGTGGACAGCACTACGTCAGTGTGAGAGTTTCTCCTGCCGATATAGCTTCTGTTGCTCATGGGGGCTGAAGCAGTTAACCTGACAGAAGAGTTCTCTCCCATCCGTTTAGAGTGGCTATATTAAAGAGCTTACAACAGCACAGCTGGACTGATGCAGCTGCACCACTGTAAAAGTCTCTAGTGGATTATGCTCAATACACTGTAACCCATTAAACCTCCTTTGTCCTATGACTGCATAGGTATTAACTGCCCACTTCACCTTGAATGGTCTATTCCACGTGTGCTACCTCCTTATTAAGCTTAACAATCTGTCCCACCTTGTATTTAGCAGTGACAGTCAAATGAGAGTATCTTTCTTAGAACTGAAAAAGAGCTTGGTGTATGCTCAAAACCTTGTCTCTCTCACCATCAGAAGTTGGTCCAACAAAATATATTTATTACCTCACCCACCTTGTCTCTCTAATATCTTGGGACAAACACAGCTACAAAAACACTGCGTACATAAAACTGCTAGGACACTAAAGGCTGCCAGCTACTAAGAGCTGAAGGGAAATGCTTGACCTATATCTTCCCCCCCAACATATTTTTTAAACTTTGTTACTTGCATGTATATACCACCACAGCCTTGATTTCCAACGAAACACTAGCACCATCAGTATCTATTTTAGAAGTCAAGATTACCATGCCCAAGTATTCCAAAATCATGAGGCAGTCCCCAGATTTAAGATTGGTTTAAAATCATAAGAGTTTTAAAAATAATGCCTAATTCTACTTGTTTTCTGGTTTTTGTGCCTTTAGGACTTAAGTTTTCATTTTCCCCCCTCCCTCTGCAACACAAAAGTTAAACAATTCTACTCTAAAGAACGCTAAGATACCACAGGACCTAAACAATTGGCAAATAAAACAATCCCCAAATACTTGCAACAATCATGATAATCACCAGAGCTGGAAAAACCTAAGGAGCTTGTGTTTATATTTAAAATTTAAGTGCATTTTTAATAGAGATAATTTAATGCCTCTGTTAGGTGGGGTCACCTCCCTGATTATGGTAATGAGAAATCATGTCCCCTGGCCCCAGTCCCACTGAGCGAAAAAACAACTCAGCTGGTGCAGGACTTCTCCCCCGCAATTTACCACAGTGAGTAGGGAGCTGTGTAGGAGGAGGCCCGTGTGTAACTGCAGCCAGCGGGCCTGGGGCAGGGATTACAGCGCTGGCTCCTCTCGGGCTGTTGGCCTCGCAGCCTGAGTGCGCACGAGGCTCTGGGCTCGAGGACGTGACCCGCGGCGCGTTACCCCGAACCACCCACTGCTGCCGTTCAACACGTGGGGTGGACAACACGGCGCCCTCGCCGCCGCCTGCAGCAAGAACCACGGGGCGGGGGAATCGCTTTCCCTCCAGGACGAATCCTCCTAGTGACCAGCAGCGATACCACCCCTCCCAACAGGAAACTCTTGGATGACCTTTCACCTCTCAAAGCGGAAGCTGCTGCCCTCGGCCCCGCGCTGTAGGCGGAGAAGCGGATTGGGCTCTAGACTCGGCCGGAACTCACGCATGAAACCTTCCGGTCGTGACGTTTAGGGGAGTCTCTCGCGTGGTGTCGATACTCTCCCGGCCGGCAGCGGGGAGAAAGCTCGCGCTAGTGAGCACCCCCCCACCCCGCGCCTGCTGTACGCGCGTGCGCAGTGCGCGCCTTGTCCCCTGTGTGTGTGTGTCAGTCGCACAGCGCGGAGGCCTCTCGATCGCTGCCCGGCTGCGAGCGACGGAGGCGCCGGGATCGAGCCGCCGGGAGTGCGCGTAGCTGGGACACCTACGGCGCGACATTGACCCTGGGACTCAAAGAGGAGCCGAGGGGGCAGCGCGGCCCGCAGGCGCCGCCGGAGGGGCCGAGAGAGGCGAGCAGCAGCCGCCGCCGGAGGAGGAGGCGGCGCGGGCCGGGATGGAGTGAGGAGGCCGCCGTGAGACTCTTCCGTGTTGCGGGGACAGCGGGTGGCCGGGCCTAAGAGCCTCCGGGCTCGTTGGAGACTGAGACCCCCCAGCCCCACCCCCCGCTGTTACCGGGCGGCCCGAGCGCGGGGGTCGCGCGGCCCGATGTGAGGCGCGGCCGGGCGGGCGGCGCGGTCTGTGAGGCGGGCTGCGGGGCCGGGGTCTGTCTGTGCGCGGCGCGGTGTCTCCATGGCGCCGGCAGCGCCCTGAAGGCGGCGGCGGCGGATTCGCAGGCCGCGTCCTAGTCCTCGGCCTTGAGTGATCTCGATGCCGAGCACCTCGGACGCGGCGCCAGCTGGAGGGAGCGGGGGAAGCCGGGGCTGGGGCGGCTCGGCAGCGGTGGAGGCGCCGGCGGACAAGAAGCGGCTACATCACCGGAGACGGAAGCGCTTCGCGGCCCAGCCGCAGCCTCCCGCTCCGCCGCCGCCGGCTCCTCACCCGCTGCTGTTTCCACTCCTGCAGCCGCCGCTCCTGCAGCCGCCGCTGCCGCCGCAGTCTCTGCTGTTCCTGGCGGCCACCAGCGCCTCCTCCTGCTGCGGGGACGGGGGGGAGCGGAAGCGGCCCCGGGGCAAGCGGCGCTCGGGGTCCCGGCACAAGCGGCGTCGGGGCCGCGGGGGAGGCGCAGGGGGCGGCGGCGGCGGCGCCCAGGAGCCGGAGAAGCGGCGCGGTAGTGGGGGGCTGAGCACTCTGGTGGAGGAGTACGACGACGTGAGCTCCCAGTCCGAGGGGCTGGTGGGAAGCGGAGCGGCCGGACCAGGCGGGGCGGGGAGCGGCGGGGGAAGCCCGGCCTCCTCCTCCGGTGGGGGGAGCCAGCGGCCCCGGGGGGAGTCGGAGCGGAGCAGCCGGCCGCGCCGGGAACATCGCGGCAGCAGCGGTCGCTCCAGAGAGCGGCACCGGGAGCACCGCAGGCGGGGGGAGGAGAAGCAGCAGGAGGGGACGGCGGTGGCCAGGGGGGGAGCCGAGGCCTCCTCTTCCTCCTCCAAGTCCCGCAGCCGCCACAATCAGACCGGGGGCCAGGACCGGGAGGGCCCCAAGAGCAGCAGTGGCGGCGGCAGCGACGCCCGCAGGAAGGGCCCGGCCGCCTCCCCCGGCAGTGGCAGGAAGGAGCGGGAGGGCAAAGCGCACAAGAGCCGGACTAAAGCGGCCAAAGAGCCGCCCTCGGCCTACAAGGACCCGCCGAAGGCTTATCGGGAGGATAAGGCCGAGCCTAGGGCCTACAGGCGGCAGCGATCGTCCCCCAGCCCCGGCCGGGACGACAGCCCCCCGTCGCACAGGGCCTCCCAGAGCCAGAGGAGCCGCAAATCGCCCAGCCCCATCGGCGGGCGCTCCCCCCTCAGCCCATACAGCCGCCGCCGATCCCCTAGCTACAGCCGGCACAGCTCGTACGAACGCGGCGGGGATGTGTCGCCCAGTCCCTACAGCAGCAACTGGCGCCGCTCTCGGAGCCCCTACAGCCCCACTGTCAGGTGAGTTGGTGTTGGAGGTATAATACTGTGTGTATGTCTACGGAGAAGAGTGTTGGGGGCGGGAGGGGGTTATATCCACGGGGAGGCTCTGTCCCGAATAACTTGGGTGGGGAAACGGGGAGATTTATATCTAATTTAGGGGGAAAACGGGGTTTTCTGTTCTCCCATCCCATTGGGGAGAAGAAGGGGGAGAGACTGTGATATACTAAAATCATGCTCCTGCCTTGTCCCTGGAGCAGGGAGGAGACCCTAATGCAACAAAGCAGACCTGTCACATCATCTCCTTTTTCTCTTGTAGAGAAGAGAGATTGTAAAGGTAAAATCTCCCCTGTGTGGGGGAGTGGTTATAAACTTCCCATTATAATATTATCTCAAGTGGGAAATGCCTTCAGTGGGGGATGGTGAAGACCTCTGGGGCACTATATCTGTTAAATGTTATAATCAGCAGATTTTCCTCATAAGCATCCTGTTCCTATCTAACCCCCGAGATAGATAAATGTTAAATTCTTTTATAGCTTAGTTAATCTTTTAGCACTGAGTTAGTTAAAAATTAAATTGAATAAAATATGGGGCATTTAGTGTTTGTACTTGTGTAAATTATTAGTGCAAACTGTTTGTTTTTGTAGAAAAAGAGGCAATATTTAAATGCTGCAAAGGAATTATGCATGTTTCACTAAGTACTTAATTTTTTAAAAATTATGTTTAGGTCCTTATCCTGCAAAGATTTACCACTGTGTTTAAACTTCATGCACTGCAAGTAGTTCCATTGATATCAGTGGGCACTTGTAGTGCAAAAAGTTGTGTGTGTGTGTTTTGACAGGGTCAGGGTCTTTCTCTGCTTAATGTATATGCTAACCTGATGGCTAAGTTCTGTTTTTTGTGTATGCAGAAAAAAATGGCTTCAATAATGGCTGAGTATTGTCAGGTAGAGTTATCTACCTTTTGTATTTGTATTGCAAAGATATTTACTATTAACTGGATTTTTGAGAGGGCTGTGTGTTTGGCCTGTGCGTATTTCCAAAAGAAGAACTATATTTGTAATAAAAGAATCTTGTGATGGTCTAGGGCCAATACTTGATTTATCTTAAAGTTGTTACAAACTGATGTGTAAAGTTATTCAGGTTCTAAAAATATTCGTATTTTTAAGTTTTACCACTCCATTGACAAGAATTCCGTAGGCTCTATGAAAAACAATTTCATGCTCCCTCTGATGGTTCTGTATCAGTTAACACTTTGGCCAGCGCTCATTGAAAATGGTGCATGTTCTCTGAGCCATCCTGGCATTCTACCTGAGGCTTTCACTTTCTGGATGGGCACTGAACATTGAAGTGGCTGAGTAACTCAGTTTGTATCCCATATTATGTTGGGGGAATAAAACAAAGATGGTTTTTAAAAATAAGATGTATTCGAAGTTGCAGTTGTGAAACATCTTAGTAAACTTCAGAATGTTTCAAAACAGGAAAAAGTATTCATAATCTGAACAAGGACAATCATTAGGATGAAAAGTGTTTGTCATTTAAGAGTGTTATAATTGGTTAAAGAAACTTTTTTTTAAATTATCATGATTTAAGAAAACAGTTGGATTTAGGAAATATTGATTGAATTCAGAATTGCTGAATTATGAGCTGATGTGTGCACTGAGTGGAATTCTTTGACGGTATTCCAGTCATGAAGTGCAATAATATGCCATGGGGTTTCAACTAAGGAATTGCCATATCTGATACAATTAGTAGTTCATCTAGTCCAGTTTATTTTTCTTTACACAGCTGCCAGTAAGAAATGCTTTATAGGAAGGTGCATGAAACCGTGTAGTGGACAATTACAAAACAAAGTAGGCTTTTGGTTTGAAGCATGAGAGTTTCTATCCCTTAAATTAAAAAATGATCTAATTTGTCATACAAATGTCTGAATTGCAAATCTGATGGCTTGTTTTCCAGAATTTATCTTTGACTTTTTCTCCAGTTCATCTGTGATTTCTGTCCAGTCTCTTAGTATATACGGAGATACTTCTATATTTACTAATTTCTCTAGCAGATGTCTTCTTTCTGACTTGCTGGAGGAGTTGGGGCAGCCAGTGGGAGACTGCATTTATAGAGACCTTGAGGGAGGAAAGGATGGCCTTCTGATTAGGGCTTTGGACCTAGAAGATCTGGGTTAAATTCCATGCCCTGCAGTTGACCTTGGCTGGGTCACGTATACTCTTTTTGAGTGTTTCCTGTCTGTAAAATGGGGATGATACTTCCTGAAGTGGATGTGAAGATAAATTCATTAATGCTTGCGCAGTGCTCAGATGCTCTGATGATAAAGGGCCATAGTTCTTGGGTATGCATAGTTCTGGGGTATACTTGAGTCATCCTCAGCACCTGTCTGCTTTTCCATCAGCTCCTGTTTTAACTAAGCCTCCCCAAAAGTATTAATTTTCTGTAATGGGAGTTCTTTGCCTTTAACACACAATAGGTCTGTAACTTGAACACTGTCTTCAATTCATCCCTCTCTAAAATGTTGCATATAGGGCATGTTTAAATCTTTCAATTTCTCCCTGCATAGCATCTCTAATATCTGGCTTTTCCTTTTTGTCATCATTACTAAAACTCACATTCAGGCCTGCATTACTCATGTCTTCACACTTGCAACCTCCTCTCTGGCCTTGATAAATCCTATTTTGCCCCATTTATAGGCATTCAAAATGCCGCTCTGAACATCATTTTCTTTGCCTGTTGCTGTCGAAGAATATAGTAGATTTTCCATGCTTCTGTTCTTAAATCTGTCCTTCATATTGAGGACAGCAGGAAGGATTAATGATGGCCAGCTTGGGATGGCCTTTTCTCACACATGGAATAGAGGTTTCAGTTTTGGTCTTATCTATACAAGAAAATTGAACCATTTTAAACTTTGTTTGTTAAGCCTCTGTGTAGACATCCTTATTTTACTTTGAGTGGCTTATTTCAATTTAATAAGCCTGGTTTAAACCAAAATAAGTGTCCATATAAACTTTTGCACCAGTGTAACTAAATCAGTTTAAAATTGCATATTCCTTGTGTAGACAAAGTCTAAAAGTTTTACTGTCTTGGTCAAGGTGATAGGAGGCTTTTTAAGTTGCTTGCTGGAGCAGTTGGGCCAGCCAGTGGCAGATAGGGAGGTTTTAAGAGCTGTCTAATTTAGATGTTTCTAAAGCAGCTATTATTTAGGGCTGGGCTTTTCAAAGGGGACTATGGGAGTTAACCACCCAAATCGCCTTGAAAGATAGAAATTATCCATCCATTCCAGTGCCTTGTTGCTTTTGAGAGTACACCTTGAAGAGGTACATCAGTTACCAGTCCATCCCACCTCACAAATCTCTGGGAGTCTGGGTATAGTCTGTTCAGTGTCTCACTTGCTTTATGAGAAAAGGTATAAAGAGAAGTTTCACTGTTTTTGAAGGTTTTCCTGTTGTGGGCGTATCAGAAAATTCTGGGCAGTTTTCATCTGCCCCAATATAAATATTATGCACTAGTTTATATATATTCATTTTGTGGGGCATTTTTGGAATTATGTAAATAAAATTGAAGGTTATAATATGAATCTTGAATCAGTTAACGTTGTGCATTTCTTAGTCAGTTGCATAAATGAATGATGCTCTGCCAAATAAGTTGGAAGGGTTTGCTGCATAGCTTAGGCCATAGTTGCATGGGCAAGTGTAATGCTTTCATGACGGCAACAGCTTCTTAGGGCATGTACCATCTTGACCTGTATGATATAAAGCAGTGGTTCTCAAATTTCATTGCACCGTGACCCCTCTTCTGACAACAAAAAATATTACATGACCCTAGGAGGGGAACTGAAGCCTGAGCGTAGGCCTGCTGCCCTGAGCGAGGGGCCTATAACCTGAGCTCCGCTGTCCAGGGCTGAAACCAAAGCCTGAGCCCCGCCACCCAGGGCTGAAGCACTTGGGCATTGGCTCTGGGTGGTGGGGCTGAGGGTTCGGCTTTGGGCCCTAGCACGTCTAACGCCAGCTGTGGTGACCCCATTAAAACAGGGTTGTGACCCACTTTGGGATCCTGACCCTCCGTTTGGTATAAAGGCTTCATTCTGGGCTAGTGTCTAGGTGTAATGGTGTTATGACAATTGACTTCTAGTCTGTTTCCTAACGATAATGCCCTAGAACTGCTCAAAATGTGCTTGCAGTAATGCTACATTGCTATCTGACTCTAGCAATTTTGGTATCTAGGGAGTGTGAAAATGAAGATAAGGTGAATAAACTTTTACAGTGCTTTAGGTATTTTGTCTTCAAGGCTTGGAAAAAGGATTACGTACGTTTTCAGCTAGATGACTGAACTTCCCAGCCGGAACCTTTATATAAAATATTGGGGATGGAGAAGAAACTAATGAGGTCCAGGGACACAACAGCTGCAATGACTTCACTAGCTTATAACTTAAATAAGCAGCAGCAGAGTGAAACTGACATGATACTTGTCTGTTCACAGAGTTCTGAATTGCAATTGTGAAATTGACTAGTGCAGGGGTTCTCAAACTGGGGTTAGGACCCCTCAGAGGGTCACAAGGTTATTACATGGGGGATTGCGAAATATATTAAAAAGTGTTTTTAATTTATATGGGGGGTTGCACTCAGAGGCTATGTGAAAGGTCACCAGTACAAAAGTTTGAGAACCACTGGACTAGTGTCTTGTCATTTTCAACCTGTTGCTGCTTGGAGGTGGGCTCTGAGCATCCGCAGACATTGGATCAGTTTACCTATAGTTCACATTTGGAAGTTTATCTTTGCAACCATAAGGGCTAGAAATATAGTTTTTCATTAAAAACCTTAAATTCTACAGGCACTGTTTAAGCTCCGTCACTTGTCAGTGAAAACTTTCAACTCATTGCCAATGAGTAGGTGAATGGATTTTTCAAGACCTGTTGTGTTTGGTCTGAATGAGATCAGTTTTAGTGTTTCTTTGCTGGACTGGGAGACAAATGAACATCAGCTATTAAGATACTACTTGAAATAATTGGTAGTGTTG